GGGGCTCTTTAGCCTGGAAAAGCGCAGGCTCAGGGGTGATCTGATGGCCACCTATAAGTTTATCAGGGGTGACCACCAGTATCTGGGGGAAGGTTTGTTCACCAGAGCGCCCCAAGGGATGACGAGGTCGAATGGTCACAAACTACTTCAAGATCGTTTCAGGCTGGACATAAGGAAGAACTTCTTTACTGTCCGAGCCCCCAAGGTCTGGAACAGCCTGCCACCGGAGGTGGTTCAAGCACCTACATTGAACACCTTCAAGATGAAACTGGATGCTCATCTTGCTGGGATCCTATGACCCCAGCTGACTTCCTGCCCTTTGGGCAGGGGGCTGGACTCGATGATCTTCTGAGGTCCCTTCCAGCCCTGATGTCTATGAAATCTATGAAATCTATGAAGCATGTTTCCCCTGCACGCAGCGTGTGGAAGGCAGGGTGCTGCCCACAAGCAGAGGGTTTCTTTGCACTGTGTTTCTCCAGAAGCCCCTGATGGAGCGGTGCATACCTCCAGGATCTAGTCAGCTCTGCACCAAGCCCTCAAGATGCAGCGGCCCCGCTCCAAAGCCAGGAGTAGGAGACCTGTGAGAGCCGCAGTCCATCCAGGGACAGCGGTGCTGACCAGGCCTGCTCTTCTGGCACACTGCACACCTGCTGAGCAGTGATTTTTATCAGTGTGTGTGTGCCCGCATGTTCACAAGCAGGGTGTGTGTGTGTGTGTGTGTGTGTGTGTGTGTGTGTGTCCACAAGCAGGGGGTGGGTGTGTGTGTCCACAAGCAGGTGTGCCAGCATTTGCACAAGTAGGGGGTGCGTGTCTGTGTCCCCACAAGCAGGTGTGCCCACATGTCCACAAGCGAGGCGGGGGGGTGTCCACAAGCAGGTGTGCCTGCATGTGCACAAGCAGGGTGTGTGTCCCCAAAAGCAGGGGTGCCCACAAGTCCACAAGCAGGAGGTGCATGTCCGTGTCCCCACAAGCAGGTGTGCCTGCATGTGCACAAGCAGGGTGTGTGTGTGTGTCCAGGAGCAGGGGTGCGTGCGTGTCCCCCAGCAGGTGTGCGAGCGGGTGGGTGCGGGGACTACAAGCCCCATGAGGCCGAG